AATGAATGACCCCTCATTTTAAAGATCACATACTCAGGTATATGAAAATACCAACAACTTGAATTTCAATTTTTGCTACAACTTGGCCATTTTGCCACAACCTGCCTCATATATCTATAGCCCCCCCCCCTCTAACCAAAACTTCTGGATCCGCCCCTGGGGGTACCATGTGTCTCAAGAAACTGAAAATTCTAGGTGTCCCTGGGAAGAATGGTGCTCCCGTATATTTTTATTTATGTGTCGATATAATTTAATTTTCTTTATTGAAGGTTTGTTATAATGTTAATGACAAGTTATACATGTTGAAATAATTTTTAAAATCGAACGATAATTCGGTATAACACAAGGGTACCATCTCTCACGGGGCACCTAGAATTCTAGGTGTCTTCGGGAAGAATGGTGCCCCATGTATTTTTATTTATGTGTCGATATATTTTAATTTTCTTTATTGGAAGTTTGTTATAATATTAATGAAAAGTTATATATGTTGAAATATTTTTTTAAAATCGAACGATAATTAGGTATAACACGTGGTACCATCTCTCACGGGGCACCTAGAATTCTAGGTGTCCCCGGGAAGAATGGTGCCCCATGTATTTTTATTTATGTGTCGATATAATTTTAATTTTCTTTATTGGAAGTTTGTTATAATATTAATGACAAGTTATATATGTTGAAATTATTTTTAAAATCGAATGATAATTAGGTATAACATGGGGGTACCATATTCTGTCACAGGGAATCTAGAATTATAAGTGTCCCCGAAAGGGGATTTTATGTGTCTATATAATTTTTATTTTCTACGGGGACACCTAGAATTTTACCCAAAATTCTAGGTGTCCCCGTAAAGAATGGTACCCCTTGTATTTTTATTAATGTGTCAATATAATTTTAATTTTCTTTTTTGGATGTTGGATATAATGCTAATGACAAGAGATAGATAAATAATTTTTAAAATCGAACGATAATTAGGTATAACACAGCGGGTACCATCAGTCACAGGACAGTGCACTCAACATTCTATGTGTTTATATATATATTGAAATAATTTCTAAATCGAACGATAGTTAGGTAATACACAGGGGGTACCATCTGTCACAGGGACACCAAATATTTTAGCTTAGCTATTATTTTGCAGCCATTTCAAACGCTAGTGTATATGTACTTAAACATTTTGAATTAAAAAGGCAATTTGTTCATGCCATATTTTGCACCACCCCCACAGTGTCATTTGTGGAATGTCTGCAAAACAATTCAGTCACGCCTAGCGAACCACTACTAGTCAAGTGTAAAAACAACAATAAAAATCTTTTTTTTCCCCCTTCAATTAATGTAAAATATTTAATCGTGTGATCGACTGTGATGTTGTTAGATTTTTTTTTATACCAGTAGGTTTCAAATCCCTGACATTTATTAAGTACAGTACCTCTGTTTTGCATTGTCTGTAGGCTTTGAAAAAATTAAAAATTGACACAGCAATAAATAACATGACACAAAATACAATACAAAATTTATCTTACCACTTGCTTGTCCTGGGTTTGAAGATGGGTTTGGAATGTCTGAAATTTAATTTAATATTTGATTACTGGTAGATTAAACATCTATAAATTGATGGGAAAAAATGAATTATAGCTATAATGATAGTATAACAATACTGTAGTAGTACCAGTGCTCAATAGATGAACAGCAGTAGCAGATATAGTAGTAATGATAATTAGTTCAAAGAAATTTATCTGGTTTAATTCAACTGGTAAGAGTGATGTTTACATTTGGTTTACCCAGATAACTAATTGCAATAATTTAATAACAATTAAAGATACAGTATATTGTCCCTTGCTAACGTCAAAAAGTAATTTTTTCTCAATTTTCAGAGGGTTCTGTTGTCTTCAAATCACTTTGTTGAGCATTCACCAATAGAAAAGCTTCTTGTACACTTGCTAAAAAGAAGCTTTATTTTTCATTGATTTTTTTGATGTAAGTTTTATTTTGATTGGTTGAAAAAAAGAGTGTCATTTTACATATGAAAGGAGGGCACATAAACGCTTTTTGCATTGAGCCAGGATGGGCGATCGCTATGGTTTTGGTGAAACCTGTGAATATTTTGTCAGAATGTCGAATAATTCATTAAAGTATTTCATTAAATATTTGTATCTAGGTGTTTAATAATGATCATAGAAGAATTCATAGAAGAATTCTAGTGAAATATTTTTTCGAAATGTTGCTACTACTACACCTAAACTTCATGTTTAAAATGTGTTGGTGTCGCAGCATCTGTACACCGTTGGCGTGGATTGAGATGGATCGCACCATTTTCTAGACAGGGTAACAATTTATTGATAACATTCTACAGCAGTGTTGATGTGAATAAGGAAGATTTGTGACTAGTTAGGCAAGTTTCTACGATTTTCTTGTGTTAATTATTTTGTTAGGTTTAAACACTATCAGTATAGTCACTATAGCTGCCCGTGTCTGCTGCTGGTAAGATATTATTGCCGAGTCTATAGTTCTCTGTACCCCGCAGTATAATGCAATATTCCAAGGATGACTCAAGTGTACCTCCCCCGGCCAACATAATATTTTAATTGATGAAATGTGTAAATATACCTTGTTTCTCATAAAAAAGTATATAGGCATTGTTCTCCTGAAGCACATCATCTATTCCCTCAGATTGACATTTGTCGTCACTGAGGTAGTACCACTCATTGTTTGATTTTGTATGGCAGATATAGTGCCCACTGTTCCTTTTTCGCCCATAATGACAAATTATACCATACAGATGGTAAGTAGTGTCACAGTTGTTCTTTGAAAATAAATAAAACAAATTACACTGAACGAAAGTAGAAAAAGACAGTTTATCAGGCCTAAAAAAAAACTTGTTTGTTTGCCGTCATCCGCCGCCCCTAAAATCCCGAAAATTAGGAGCAGGTTTTATTTTTTTCACCAAAAAAGTTTTTTTTTTAAAAGTTTAAAAGATCAAGTGAAAACCACTTTTTTTGTCGATTTTGGCACAGATCCGTGTTATATGGAAATTTTTTTTAAAACAAAAATATGATTGTTTTTCCATGAAAATATGACAATTGCAGTTTTCATGATGTTTCTATGATTTTACAAAAAAAAAAATGTTTTCCACCCGCCCCTGTATTAAATTTTTTACAATGCAACAGCAAACAAACAAATTTTTTTTTTAATTATTACATTATTATACTTCTATATTGGAATGCAAATGTTTTTGTTCTTTGTATTTCTGCATTGAAATAAAAATACTCTAATGCAAGTACTGTAATTACCAGGATTAAACAAGTTAACCATAATAAATTAGAAAAAAATTGTATTCTACACTTACATTATCTTTGTCAATACATGGGCTTAGGTCAAGATTTTCAGGGAAATCAACTTTCTTATTGTCTTTGGTCTGGTTCACATCATACCTCATCAAAGTAATGTAAAGAACCTTTGGGATCGTTTCTAGTTTCACAAACTTTGCTGCTTCAACTTTCTCCTGACAACTAAATAAATTGGAGATACTATTTGTTTTTTGTGGGATTACTTTTCAGTTTCTGCCTAATTCAATTAAAAAAATGCAATACCACCACTTCAAGTGTTGAATCACCAATTACATATTCATTTGTTGAATTGTATGCTGGAGTACTAATTATTTTTTTTAAGTACCAATAAAGATAATGTACAATAGCAAGGAGGTATTATAGTTCACTATAATACCTCCATGACTATAGCAATGAGAATATAATTAATCCTACTGCTATATCAAAAGTAAAATGTATTTAATGGGGATTTCCCTCATCGCAATTTACAATTAAAACTAATTTATTGTATAATTCATTTGGCTCTAAACTTATGGATTTATGGAAAATCTTGTTAAAACATACATTTCGCATTTATACTTGTTGCTCCCGTTTAGAATTTCTTCATTTGAAAAGCAATCGATCAGCATCTGTTCAAGGCTATGATGCTTTCCAATTGGAAGATGAATACTTCCTATCGAAGTTTTAGATTGTGTTGAGACTGTATGACATTTACTGCATACCACTGAAAAAGAAATAAAAAATAAAATAATAATAATAATAATAATAATAATAATAATTATAACAATAGCAACAAGATAAAGTATGGTGCATTTACAGTATGCTAGCAGATAAATGCTTGAGATAAAGGTAGTGGACAATTTTTAACACTCTAAATTTCAACAAAATTCTGCCCAGTGATGATAATCATAGGGTGAATTGAAATATTTGGTTATTATCATTTTACCTGAGGTCATTATGCTATGGCCAAAAATCTTGTATATGGGACTATACTCCTCATTGAAGCTGTTATCCATTGCTCTGAGCAGTGCATGAACAAATTCATCAGCATCGTGCTGCCTGAAAGATAATTTTGTTATAAACAAAGAAACCATATGAAACCTTTAATAAACCACAATGAAAATCTTGCAAAACCTATGATGAGTCTTACCTTCCCCATTCAAAATCTTTAAATTCCGTAAAATGTCTTATAAGCAGCTGTGACTTTATTGTATTTCCAGGATTTGAAAATGCAGTGGATATATGGAGTTCTACAGCGCACATAACACACTTCTCTGGCTTGGTACCTGCCATAATTAAAAATATATACCATAAGTTCTGCATACAAATAGTGGTTCATTGTACGAATTGTTAAAAAAAAAACAAAAGTGAAATGTGCAAAATGATACAAATTGACAATAGACTGGTATGAACTGGATATCCCAGATATATAATTACTAAGATTTGGCTATCATGTTCAATGTATAATTTACTGTAATTAACCTACGCTGTCAGCTCTTTTCTTATTCAGTCAACCAGAGCACCAGCTGATAACTTTACCTGTATCCCCTGTGCCAGCTAATTATTTAACAAGGTCACCGTAAAGGCATACAGTGTATATTATTTGCTCAATAATTTATAAACTATTCAGATTATGAAAATAAATCTAAAAACAATTAATCAGCATTAGTTGTTTTGTACATATATGATTTTATTTCTGCATTTTATTTATCATTTAGTGAATAAATGATAGAAATATTTTGTCAAGGCCTATCACAAATAGTATATTGGGCCTAGGCCTATTAGCAGAGTATGTGTCAGAGTATGTGTCAAAGTCAAATTACTGTACTTGCCGATGAAAATCAAAATAAAGAATCCTAAGCCTACGTATATTTACTGACATCATTACGTGCCAAGGATTACACTGATTAAAATCAGTAGTTCACGGTTGAGAAAGCAGCTTAGCTCAGTCGGCTAATCTGGTGGTAGCCACTGTGTGTGCACTGAACCGTGTTGATCGCTAGGTCCCCGGTTCAATTCCCATCGCTGCCTCTCCTTGTGTTTCAGCTAGAGGGCTGAAATACAAGTTACAATAGCGTACCGTCTTTCAGATGAGACGTTCAAACCGTTGGTCCCGTGTGCATTTATGGCCCATGTGCACGTTGAAGAACGCAGTACACTCTTCGGAAAAGAGTAGGGGATTGTACTGTCCAATCACCACTAAAATGAACCCCACTGGAAATAAGTCTTCTTCTAGACTTTCGTGGGCTATCCTTGGTGTTTACACCGAATAAATCCAATCCAGAATCGCGATTTTTGGACATGTCACCCAATTAAAAAATGCTGCTCCACATTTTAGAAAGTAAAATATAATATCTGTATCTGTAATATCTTAAATAGTTAATTTATTTATCGTACCTTTTACTTTTCTAGACGCCTAGCCTAGGCATAGAATATGCCTACATGCTGCATTTTTGGCCGTTAACAGAACTGGTCCATGGCACCCGGCTTTTGGAAAAACCCGGGTTATAAATCCTGCTGGTTTGTTGAATAGCGATGGGATCTTAAATTATTTATTGCCAGTGAAGCCCATGGGATGAAGTGAGCGATTGTAATGGGTTTCTTGTTTACATTCCAATGGCTATATATATGTTGCTGGCCAGGACTCTATTGTTAACTCCCAATAGACATTCTTAAAACCAATTAAAGTTAATTTTATGGAGCTGCTAACAGCTCCCTCTGGACCATTTGACAGCTCACTCTCAACTATCAGACAGCTCACTATGGACCATTTCTGCTAACCGGGACTTTTGCCTCATGTGGTTCACAGTATGTTTACAACAAAAATTCGCATTCATATAGTCTGTAAACAACAGCCGTAGTAACTGTTAGTGCACAGTTAGCCCATGGAGGTATTATTGAGAAGGAGATCACTCGAAAAAGCTACGTGCACACAGCGCTATGCAAATGAACCAAGATCAAAGCTGCCGCAGCGCGTGAAGAAAGTTTATGCGATGCCTTTGAAGTCCCATGTGTTCCCCGCCATCAAATTTTCAGCAGGCATAGTTTACCAAAAAATTGAACATGGCGAAATGGAGAGCACCTTCTTTTCTCAATGCGCACTACATACAGTCAATCACTATGGCTGCGCAATCATTTCCATTTTGAAGCTGATACATTTATCTCTCATAAAATATCAACATATTAATATTTTCAACCAAAAAAAGTTTCGAAATTTAATGGAACATTTACATGACCTTTAAAAGTATAGTATAGTTCAACTTCAATTTCCATAAATTGGCCAAAATTCGCTAATTCTAATTTTAACAGATATTAATTAATAACTGATTGAGGATTATAATAAACTAAGTCATTTTAGGGTTAACGAGGGTTAACTATTCGAAAAATCAATCCAAAATCTGAGTATTTTTCAGTTTTACGCTGACTTAGCTTCATAGTCGAACTAATCAATCTTAAGACAAAATTATAATGAACACAGAAATAATTTTCTTAAGGAATCTTAAATAAACAAGCCCAGAAAAAAGTCCATTGTGTACCCGGTGAAAATTTCTTGTACAACATGCCTATAAGATAGTATAAGTATTAAAATGCACACCATTGTGTTGGAATTAAATATTTCAACATTAAGTATGTCATTATCAGAAATGATGAATAATGTCTCAAATCTACAGGCGTATTATCATACTAAAAAGCAAATTATACCCTGCTGGAAAATGGACAGTTCCAAATCACTCAATACTCGCACCCATGTGTGGTGTGAATGCAAGCATCGCTCTTGAGGTTTGTTTTGAGTAAAAGAAGACAGCACATTTTAATCGGTTATCTCCCTTGTTATAAATATTTTATAACTAATAAAGCAGATTTCAGATTTGTTTTAAATTAATGTTAAATTTTCAACAACAATACAGTATACATCTCTCGATTCGGAGGACCTACTGTAGAGGAGTATACGTCTTTCTACACAGGCCTAATGCCATTGGCTAGCAAAAAATGTGAGGTAAACATTCCGCCGTGTGCTAGCATCAGGTGCTAGCATCAGATGATAGGCATGGCAGATTTTATTTTAGGCCAGGTAACACTGCCTTACTTTGAATGTCTACAGTATGTACCTTCAATATTTCGATCTTTATTTTGAAGAAAAAAAAATTTTGATGAGCCTTTCTTTAGCAGTAATGTCGGCCTATAGTTAGGTCCACCGGTGTTCGCGAATTACACACTCAGGAATGTTGGCCTAGGGCACGGCCTTCCCAACGTAGGCCTATTGAGTCTGTTCTCAAACTGTGATCGATTATACTGTAAACTGAAGAAATTAGAAATGATGACTGATTCTAATATCACTTAAAACATAAATGATTTAACCAAGGAGGTTAACTTTATTTTAACTAAAATTCAGAGTACAACACTTTAGGAGATGGCTAATAATCTACACTGCCTATAGGGACAGTAATAGCGTTAAAGGATTAACACTCCAATTATCATGAGCAATTACTCATATCAGCAATGTCTTATCAGCATTGGATGATAAGAAAATGGAAAAATTTGTCTAAGCAGTTGTACACGTCATGAATACCATCACAGTCCAGGCCTAGCTAGGGCTAGGCCAGTATCCGATCATTTCAGTTGCGCCTTCATTTCGGTCTGCATTTCGGCCGCGGTGCATGGCGCGCTGACGGTGCGGCCGCAAATCTGGAACAAGGGAGCTAAGCAGTACAGTATTTTTATAAACACAAAACTTACATAAAACATTAGTTGACTAACAATTATTTGTATTACTGTACTATAATATTATAGTTTATGATTATTAATATTACGTGTATCACTTGGTGTTATTTTTCTTTTTTAGAAACAATGAAAATGTTACTTGGTTTGAGACAATTGTTCCTCTTTAACGTTTGTTGCGATATATATTTTATTAATGCATAAATGGAATGGAGATTTAAGAAATAAATATAGTCAATATATTAGTTCTTCATACATTTGTTTTCTTGTCTGTTACGTTTCCATTTATCTGTTTTTGAGTGAATCTGTAAGAAGAAAAAGAACACTCTAAAATTATATTCAAATTACTTGTAATTAATAACAATCGTAAAAAACTTAAAACAACAATCATACAAAAAAAAATACAAAGAATATTAGGCCTATGATAGTCAAGCATCGTAAAAAAAAGACAAAATAAATAAAATTAATACCCAGTCTGAAACACCCGCACCAAAAAAACTTTAAAAATACAGAACCCTTCAAAAATTACTTTCCAAACAAGCACTAGTGCGTACATCGGCGTTCCATACTGAAGCTGTTTATCGCGACCGAAATGCATAACAATACGGCGCGACCGAAATGAAGGCGCGACCGAAATGAAGGCACGACCGAAATGATCTGTATTCGCTAGGCCTAGGACCAGAACATCGTTTTCTATGTCAGTTTCTAAGTCTCCTTATTATCCAGCACAGCTGTAACAACTACAGAAGAATAAAGTTTCTCAGCATTTCAAAACATCATATTTTCAACTTGCAACTTCTAAAAAAATAACACCCCAGCAAGTTTCACATCAAAATGTGCAGAAATTCATTAGCTTTCATATGCAGTAAACACTATTTGGGTTAGTGTTAAAACAGCCACTCTATGGTCGTTTCTTGGAAGACCTTCACCAATTCGCATTTATGTGAAGGTGGCGCACGGCTGACAGTGAGCCTAATCACATTTATGCGAAACTAGCATGCACACAGTTTTCACATTTATGCAAAGATAAGGGTGTTAACTTACATGAGTCCTTGTGATTCTTTCTATTCAATAAATGTACCAATGCTCCAGTATGGACTATTATCTGCAGAACTGAGTTCATGTAGCATGTATTGCCAAGGTTCTCTAGTGCAGCTGGTTTCATGTGTAAATTATATTCTATGAAAAGGATTAATAGTTGATTTTTAACATTACATTTACAAACTTCATATAATATAAATTTTTTAAATACATATACAGTTTAATAATATATTTTACTATATATGTGGCAAAGACAAGCCAAAAATAAATTTTTACTTATTAATACAGGGTTAAAGATGAAAATGAGAGCTATAAAATGGTAAAAGAATCATTTAAATCCAACATTTCCTTATGAAGTTACAAGCATTTATACATACAGCTGTTTAAAGAACAATATTTGAGAAATCAGGCTTCAAAGTTTATGATTTCAGGCATTCCTCAGGCAGAAACAATCAACATATTGTTGTTTTAACATTCAAAATGGGGGAAAATAACAACATAGCATGATGTTTAGATATATAGAGGTTAGTTAAAAATTTCAGCATGTTTTGGCCAATATCTCGAAACATGATTTTTGGTTTGACTTGTCTTTGCCAAATATATATATATATATTGTTAGAATCTTCTCTATGTGTCTCTTCTCTCTTTAGCGTGCACCCCTATATTTGGCAGACCAAATCTGACACGCAGAGAAATCTGACATGCAGAAAATGTTATCTGACGCAGAGAATGTGGTTTTATTCCCGAATATTTTGAATTAAGCAAATAGTGAATTTAGCAAGTAGCGTGCGGAACGCTGGCAAGATTTGTCACTAAATCATTGGGTTTATTTGTATAACCCTGAAATGGTATGTCTTGTTATTGATTTTATTGTTAGAAAATTTTATAATTATAGATTCAGTGTTTTTGTGAGAAATATACTATTTTATGTCAATATACTTTTCTGAATCTTGCATAGTTGTTTTAATGTATAGTAATTTAGGTAGACCAAGTGTCATTATTATTGTTCATAATATGAATCGGTCATGTTGTTAATGACAGTTGAAATGTTATAACTTAGAATGCTTAAATGTGTTAGTACCTTCAGTATACAACAAGTTTAATTAAACGGTACAATACTGTTTGTGATTAAGATAATCTATGCCATGTAGTTTAGCTTTAATCTATTTCTGCTTGTCCTTAATATTTATATGCTTTCTGGTTTTGAGTATAATTGGTGAGAGTGAACTCACTAGATTTATGATTATATAATAATTACTTCAGTTTAAATAATTTAATTTTACATTAAAGTGAATTATTGTCACAGGCCATTGGTAAGCTGAGCTGAGTACAGCAGTAGTGTAGTATTCCACGTTGATATTCGAGGCATAGTGCGGTCAAATTCATGTAAGATTTATTATATGTTTTATGCATCTCATGTTATTACATTATATATTTAAGTATATGAATAATTATGACATGTATACATGTTCATGTTGTATTTTAATAATTATGGTGATTTTGTGTTCCGTTATATCTAGTCATCAAAGAAGAAACACCAAGTGGGTTATTGACGCTTATCGTGTCGTAGACGCAATAGTGCAACAGCGAAAAATTTACCGTTGAATGCCCTAGGCGCACTAGTGCGACACATCCAAGTACATGGATTTCGCCCTCTATAATGTCTATATATCATTCTGATGCTCATTTGTTTTTGCATCCGGGTTACTTACACTTTGAACTTCTCCAATAAACAAAAATCTTGACAATTTTTATTGAAAAATATTTTATAAATCAAAAAAAAATGTCAACTTATTTTTGAAAGTTTCAGTATGGCCGCGCAACAGCGATATACTGTGGAACAAGCCATACACGATGTTTTTGATGATAATAGTGTAGATAGAGACAAGGAACATTTTTGTGGAATTATAATTGTGTTTCTGTAGGCTAGTGAGAGTGATGGTTATGATGCGGAAGAAACTAATAGCCTAGGCCTAGATGAAGTTAGGCCTAGCCTATACAAAGAAATAGGCCAAATTGGATGGCGGAAACGGAACATTTCCCTGATTGTAAAACAATTTTTTTACAAACCAGTATCACATATATAGAATATATGTGCTATGAAGATTATTTTTTTTATAAATATTTTTTTGTTTAGGGTTCAAGAAATATGTGAAAATTTCATTTAAAGAGAGATACTAATTTCTGCTGTGTAATTATGTAGTTTTGTAAAAGTGAATTGGCATGCCAGAATGTCACGCACCAGCGATTTTCAGCATGATAAGGGTTAAGTCGTCCAGTGTTTGTCTTTGCATAAAGTGACTTGAGCCATATAGCGCCCTCTAACAGCAAACCGGCTCCAAGTTCTAACAACGGTTAATAGTGAATGAATAAGTGTTTAATCACCGTGGAACCAATAGGTACAATGGAGAACATAAAGCAGCTAAGTAAAGAAAGGCGAAATTGGAAAGGAGCGATGTCCAGAGCAATCAACGGATTACAGCAAGCGTTGGAAAGTGCAGAAACAAGCACAGACACCATTAAGGATCTCTTCACCAAAGTGAGTAACAATTATGAAAAGATAGAGGCAGTTGAAGATGATATGTTTGAGAAGGAAGAAAGATGGATGAAGGAAGTTCAAGATACATTCACTGGCATCAGGCTCAACTTGACAGAAAGTTTTGAGAAAGGTCAAGCATACTGGCAGATAACGTCTCCTGATACCGTGGGTGCAGGAGCGGTAAGTGTAAGTGTACAAACCAGCCCCAATTCAGTAGTAAATGAGGTAACTCATACGATAAGAAATAAGGTCATCTTATAGGAATTGTGTAGTAGTAGTAATGTGCTCCCTGATGCTTCAGAGAATGATTCTTGTTGTGTAAATAGTAATGTGGGACTAGGTAATGTCGTTCCTGATGTAGCGGAACACGAGGCCACACCTATGATTACTAGGTTAAGTGATTTAATGAAATCATGATAGCTATTGAGAGCTCACTGATAGGTGTCCAATCAAAGCCAATGGTTCCGATGGTCTATGGAACCTTGCCTCTATGTAAAAATGCTATGTTACACTAACAAAACTTGGTTATACCCATTAACTTGATAGTACCTGTAATTTGCTCAAGGTACAAGACTTGCTACCCCACCATCTGCAGACATCATGGGCAAAGAATGCACATGGTATTATAACCAAAAGTTAAAGAGAGCCTAAGTTCAGTGACCTGCTAGATTTTCTCATCTTACATGGTGAGGTGTCATCTACAATGTTTGGCATGCATCTAGGCAAATCAAAAGGCAGTGAAAGACAAGGACAAAGGCCACCACAAGTTAAAACCAACCACAGAGAAGGTAACCAAAGAAATAAAGTGCTTTGTATGTAGTGTACACATGCAATGAAATTCTTGGTGCAGACTATAAGAAACGGGTGGAACTTGCTGCTGCGAAAAGGCTATGCTTCCAATGCTTGCTAACAGGTTATGTCATTGCAAAATGCAGAAGAAACTGGAAATGTCTTTGCGGATCGGATAAGCACCACAACCCTCTGCACCCACCTAAAGAAGACTACACACAAGCCATATGTAGTGGAACTAAGGTATTTATGCGGATCGTACCTTTGAGCTCTTAGATGATGGATCTGACACAAACTTGTTAGATCCAGAGGAGTACGACATCAGTTTACCTCATCAACCATTAATGGTGTAATGGAATGTGAAAGATGGTCTTTTAGTCTCTTCATAAAGGGTAAGTATGAGACAGATGAAATTGAGTTAGATGTTCTTTCAGTTAACGAGATTCCAGCCTGCTTTTAAGAGTTGTCCATCTACAACAGAGATTGGTCGGTGGGAGCATCTACGCTCGAGCATACCTTGGGAAGACCACTCATATCATAACGTCGATATCCTAATTGCTGCGGATCATCCTAAGGCATTCTGGGTGGAAGATAAGCGTCAAGGTATACCCATATGCTGTGAAAACGGCACTTGGTTGGTCAGTCATGGGCCCAGGAACACAGAAAGGAAGTGGATGTCATTTAAATAGGGTCCAGGTAATCCCTGACATTTATTAAGTACAATACCTCTGTTTTTCATTGTGTCAGTAGGCTTTGAAAAAAATGTAAAATAGACAGTAACAAATAACGTGCCACCACAACAAACATAATTTATCTTACCACATGCTAGTCCTGGGTTTGAAGATGGGTTTGGAATGTCTGAAATTTAATTCAACGTTTGATTACTGGTAGATTAAAATATCTATATATTTATGGGAAAGAATGAAATTATAGCTTATTATTTTGCAGACATTTCAAATGTTATAGCATATCTGTACTAAAGACATTTTGAATTAAAAAGGGAATTTGTTCACACTTAATTTTACACCTTTCCACTGTGTCAATTGTGAATTTAATGATTGACAACTACAATGTTAATAACAGAAATAATGACAACAGAAAAAAAAATGAAATAATATGAAATAATATATAAATAACGGTAGTATAATACTGCAATAGTACCAGTGCTTAGTAGATGAACAGTAGTAGCAGAATAGTAGTAATAATAATTAGTTCTAAGAAATTCATCTGGTTTAATTCAATCGGTAAGAGTGACGTTTGCATTTGGTTTACCCAGATAACTAATTTCAATAATTTGACAACAATAACACTTAATTAATAATAATATTATGATACAGTATAAGACACAAATTTAAGAATTATTTATCCTGAGTTTGGAGTTTGGAGATAGAATGTCTGAAATACAATTCAATATTGGATTTATACCAGTATATTGAATTATAAAGTGAAGTATGTATATTAATTCTGTAATTAACAATTTCCTGTTGCATATTTGGACAATGAGCAATTTGACATGTACTGATACATTTCAGTATAATAAGACACAAATGTAAGCATTATTTTATTACTTGCTTGGTCTGCCTTTGGAATATCTGAAAACTAATTCAATTAACTGTTAATGTAAAATATTGATTGATATTCGTGTAATCAATCGTAATATTGTTAGATTTTTTGATACCAGTAGGTTTTAAATACCAAACATTTATTGAGTACAGTACCTCTGTTTTGTATAGTATATCCATAGGCTTTGAAAGAAAGTGTAATTATAATATAGACACAGTAACAAGTTACACGACACCAAAACAAACATTATTCAACTTACCACTTGCTTGTCCTGAGTTTGAAGATGGCTTTTGAATGTCTGAAATTTAATTCAATGTTGGATTACTGGTACATTAAATGTCTATATATTGATGGGAAAGAATGTTTTTAAAATTAATTTGAAAATCAACCACAAAATTTGGTTGCAAATTTTTATAACAAATAATTAAAAAATTCTCTGCTGCTGTAATCTAGCATGCTAATTAGTGAGAAATTAAGTCACATCTTTCTGTCCACTACGAAACATCAGAATAAGATGTACTGATAGTAAGTGCCAGAGGTTTTGTGATGTCTTGTCTCAATTTGAATTTAATTTTTGTTAAAATTGTATTTTATGTTTCACTGTATTTACATCCTTTGGGGTTACAGCTTTAGTGCACAAAGCTTTCCAGCTAAAAGCATTAGAGTGAATTTATCCCCATTTATTGAATTGATATGAAAGAAAAGAAATACCTTCTGTTAGAGACTTCACTCCTTGGTTTAGATTAAATGTCTGCAAATTGTCAATGAATGTGTCCATGTTTTCTTCAGAAATGACTGTTTTATGTTCTAGATCCATGATCAAACTCCAGCTATCTGTATGTTTTACACTATACAGACCATTAATCGTTTGTACATCACTTGGAGATAGTGACTTCCCCAGCTTTACAAGCCTTTGCTGATGCAGTGTGAATGCTGTAATTTCTTTATCCCTGATATTTTTGTAAATTTGGAATGACGGCATTTTATCTTTAATTTCATGTTCCAGACCAAATTGTTCTGTTACCTTAATAGTATCATAGAGGAGAGTAAGGTCAGCTGGACTCAAACTTCCACGCGTTGTCAGCTTATTCATTAACTCCATCGTCTTAGAAGAAGTATGTAATAAATGAGCATCGTCTATATGGTCCCTGAATAACACTTTCAGCATATTGATGGGTATGCATTCATCATACCAAATTGACACAACTGACACCAATTTTGCAAAAGTTGATTCTATGATGTAAACCAAAATAAAACATAGTAATAAAATATGACAACCTTTTGAAAGAAGTAAAAGTACTGTAAAGTTAAACTTGCCTAAGTCGACTGTGCCTAATTTGCTCTTATTTTACATGCCAAATTGTTGTGTTTTCCATTGATTAACAATCTATAAGTCAAATTTTATCCAAGTCGAACAATATTTCAATGGCACTTTGGATTCGACTTAGGCAAGTGTATATATTGTAAAATTTCTTGACCACAGCAGCAGCAGCCCACTTCATAATGACCACAATAATGTCGATTTACATTATCTTAGTAAAAAAAACAACATTTAACAGCCCATGACTCTTAAATTTTCATGTGTAGGCCTACAGAATAGGGCAAAGATTGCTATCTGTTGCATGTTGTGTTTTGACGCAGACGTTTCAACCACTAGAAGTAGTGCGCCATGACCGCCAAAATGTTGAAAATCTTGGTTTTTTCCAAGTTGCAAAAAAAAAAAAAAAAAAAAAATCCAAGTTCAAAAAAAAAAAAAAAAAAAAAAAAGTCAAAGGCTTCTATTTGAGGTATCATGGTAGATAACATTGGCAAAATATAATACGAGATGATAAAACTTTGTCACGATATAAATACACATGTATGCAGTTACTCCATTTTTGGAGGGTCTGCACCCGTTGCCAAAACTCCGACTTCGGAGGTTTTGCGTACTATCAACCCTCCGATTTCGGAGGTTCTGTGTACTATATGCAAAACCTCCAAAATCCGAGTTTTTAAACTTTTATTCAAACCTCCAATACCGGAGGTTTTGCGTACTTATACGCCAAACCTCCAAACTCGGAGTTTTCAAATTTTTACTCAAACCTCCAATTTCTGAGGTTCTGTGTACTAATACGCCAAACCTCCAAATTCGGAGTTTTAATCATACCTCCGATTTCAGAGGTTCTGTGTACTTATACACCAAACCTCCAAAATCGGAGTTTTCAAACTTTTATTCAAATCTCCGATTTTCGAGTTTGTGCGTACTATATGCAAAACCTCCAACATCAGAGTTTTCAAACTTTTATTGAAACCTCCGATTTTGGAGTTTGTGCGTACTATACGCAAAACCTCCAACATCGGAGTTTTCAAACTTTTATTGAAGCCTCTGATTTTGGAGTTTCTGCATACTATTAATTAAACAAGCTCTCTCTATATAGAGAGAGCAAAACTTTTAACAACCCTCCGATTTCGGAGTTTCTGCGTACTATACGCGCAACCTCCAAAATTGGAGTTTTCAAACTTTTAATCAAACCTCCGATTTCGGAGGTTCTGCGTACTTATACGCCAAACCTCCAAAATCGGAGTTTTCAAACTTTTAATCAAACATCCGATTTCGGAGGTTCTGCGTACTAATACGCCAAACCTCCAAACTTGGAGTTTTAAACTTTTTTTGAAACCTTTGATTTTGGAGTTTCTGCGTACTATTAATTAACTAAGCTCTCTCTATATAGAGAGACCAAAACTTTTAACAACCCTCCAATTTCGGAGGTTCTGCGTACTTATACGCCAAACCTCCAAAATAGGGGTTTTCAAACTTATTCAAACCTCCGATTTTGGAGTTTGTGCGTACTATACAGTACGCAAAACCTCCAACATCAGAGTTTTGGCGGCGGGCGCAGACACTCCGATTTTGGAGTAACTACATACCTCAAATACAGCATTGAGATATAATCAGGAGGGTTGAATGTACTAAATGCGACATCCATGCAAACTTGAAGGTGTATTGCAGAGTAAATTCTAAAACATTTTGTTACACAAGCATTATGAAGCAAAATAATGATTTGAAAACCAAAAAATTTAAATAAGTTTCCTTTTTAAATTGCTCTCTGAAAATGTCCGAAAAATGCATTTCCAAACATACACAAACAAAACATTTCCTGGGACCACATCCTTTTCCCCCTAAAGTCAAATTCTGTTTAGATTTGTAAATATATCATTGTTCTTTGAGGTTATAGTACTCATCCCTCAGTATACATAGTTACCAACCTGAGAAATTTGAAATGCGCGACTACACCAGTTGGCTGGGGGCGGCTACACCAGTTGGCTGGGGGCGGCTACACCAGTTGGCTGGGGGAGCTTGGGTTCAGGGACGGAGACACGGTGGAGGTCGGGTCACATAATCAACGGTGGTTAGTTGTGACAATGAGCGTGCAAGACCGCACGCTCCTTATTTTAGTACAGTAAGTGCGTGGTTGGCCGAGTAATTTTGGTCTAAAAAAAGAGAAATTTTCTTGGTAAATGAATTCTCGAATGCAGGGGTGGTGCCAGGGTTTACCCGACGGGGGTCGGTCCCCTACTGGGGGTCAAATTTCCCAGACGAAAGTGTAGTGGGCGTGGTCAAGCTTCGATTGAAAGGTTTTGAAAGGTTTTGAAATTCAGGAAATATTGATGCAGAAATAAAAAAAAAATTTTTTTGCCGCATAAATTATTTCAACAGCATAAAAATAACAATGCAATTTTGTGACTTCAAATACATTTTCTTTAAAAAACTATAAAATTAAACCAGTTTTTATACAATATTTACTATTACACACCAAATATAAACAGTCCCTCCCTCATCGATAAAAACAAAAGCAAAATAATCTATTGTTTCGATTAAAAAAAAACAAAAAAAACTGCCCTCCCTCATCAATTGAAAAAAAAAGTGATAATCTAATCATTTTTTCTACGTGCCCTAACATTTAGAAAATACATATAATTTTTTTTCTCCCCGTCGAATTGTGCTTTTTCTTCCCGACGGGGGCCCTGGCCCACATCCCCCGGCCTTCCCGCTGGCGCCCAATACTGCTTAAACGAGATTGCGCAGACTTGTGCTAAATGCGTGACAAATTTATAATCACCATGTGTTTCTGCAAAATGCGTTTCATCCAAAATCACATTGAAGTGCGGGTCCGTCCCACACGATACGAGTCGGTTGGTAACTATAAGTATACATCCAAGAATGTTCAGATAAATTTAATACGGACTGAATTTTAAAAATACTGAAATGTCTTTCAAGTTTACCTTTACTTGTTCTCATGTTCATTGTCACTTGTACAGCTACTACTTCAATCTTTCATTCATTCCTGAAAATTAACAAGCATACTCAATCATAAAAATCAATGAAATAATGAAATGAAAAAATTTAAGCTCATACTTGCCTTGTCCTGTGGTATGATTCCAATCTTTAATCAGCTTTGTGTTTTTTGCAATTAATATTTTTTATTTTTCCATGATTTACAGCGAAATGCATTTTATAAATTGAAAAGTCTGTAATCTTAGCAGCAAAATATCCAATGACACTATGGTGATTTAAAAAAAATATATATTATTAATGCTAAACTAAAAGACCAACTGTGACCGGTAAGGCTATAGCTTAAGCGGGCATAGGTCAATTGACTGACATGTATGGGAATCAATCTCAATCTAGGCTAGGCTACATAATATAATACTGGTCTAGCTGGACCAACAGGCAGACAGTGACGATATGAATACAGATCATTTCGGTCGCGCTTCGTTTCGGTCGAGTTTCATTTCGGTCGAGTTTCATTTCGGTCGCGCTTCATTTCGGTCGCGATTTGTTCTCAACAAATATATGGAATGCCAATGGAGTTTCGAAATGCTAAATTTAATATAACTAGGCCTAATTATCATTGCAAGTTCGTCAATCGGTTTATCATACTTTTTTTATTTATGTTTTGTTGTATTTCTAATAAGTAACAACAGGCTACTTAAAAGCAAATAAAATTAATACTATTATTACTAATCTATCAATAAATATTATCAGACAGTTTTTATTTTCGTTTTGTTATGAATCCTACGCTTTCTACTATATAACAAATACAGCAAATAAAATAAATACTAAAATATGATATGATGTTATATATTATTATTATTATTAATATTATTATATTATTATTTTTATTTATTTACATTGTATCTGGAAAAACCAGCCAATTTGTCATTTAAATTACTGTAACATTAGTTTATTAACAATTATTTTTATTAGTATTAAAGTTTGTTATTGTTTTTATTTTCGTTTTGTTATGAATCCTACGCTTTCTACTACATAACAAATACAGCAAATAAAATAAATACTAAAATATGATATGATGTTATATATTATTATTATTGTTATTAATATATTATTATTTTTATTTATTTACATTGTATCTGGAAAAACCAGCCAATTTGTCATTTAAATTACAGTAACATTAGTTTATTAACAATTATTTTTATTAGTATTAAAGTTTGTTATTGTTTTTATTTTCGTTTTGTCATGAATCCTACGCTTTCTACTACATAACAAATACAGCAAATGAAATAAATACTAAAATATGATATGATGTTATATATTATTATTATATAATTATTTTTTTATTTACATTGTATCTGGAAAAACCAGCCAATTTGTTATTTAAATTACTGTAACATTAGTTTATTAACAATTATTTTTATTAGTATTAAAGTTTGTTATTGTTACTATATTATTGCTATTTTTCTTTTTTTACAGAAACAACACAGATGTTACGAAGTTGACCGAGTTTGAGATACGTTTTTTTGGTTCTTGCTATATATATTGATATAATTTTTATTAATGCTTGAATCAAATAAAAATGTATGTAATAAGTATAGTCAGTAGATTAGTTTCGTATACGGTTTTTTTTTCTTGTCTGTTACGTTTCCATTTACCATAAATGTTCTGATCATGTTAAATATTGTAAAGGAAATATGTATTTCCATATTTATATTTTCCATATAAAATTATCAATACTTTGATAATTTTAAAAGTCTTTTCATGCTTCTGTTATATTCATAAGCCCGAGAAAACTTGCTCAACTTGCTAGGCCTATTTCTTTAGTTGCATAACTGGAGTATAATTGGGGAAAGAAAAGTTTCCACATATTTATTGCCATGGTACTCAGGAGAAGATGACACAAGATTTGTGATTTCTTGTTTGTCTTAATTCCATTTTTGTTACATTATTGCAAAAATAGACGACTAGCTATTTCTAGGTACAAACACGTACGCTGAAGCGCAGTTAACCAATTCACATGTGTTCACCTACTTTATGAAACCAGTAACTTGGAATAGTCTGCACTGGCTGCTGATCATGTTTATAAAATAAAAAAATAAATGGATAATAAAATAAAATTTCGGTTCGAGCCTAAGATGTGTATAAGAGACAGTATATATACATATTTATGAACTGCGCATGGGTATTAAAGATTTCAAGTGAAGAATGATAATGTGTGTATTATTATTTCTTCGTGTTTCCTTCAATTCTCTTGGCATGTTTCATCCAAACTCTGGAAGCTGCAAGAAAAGTAAATATATTTATTGTATAAAAAGATCAGTTTAAATATTGAATTATTGTTTTAACTAAATTATGAAATAGATTTCAGATGGTAACAATATTCAATTCAATTAAAATCAAAGATACATTTTATTGACCATTTATTAAAGTATAGTATATGAAAACGCAACAAAAAGAATAGCATATGAAGCACATACTAAACTCCATTTTTCAATATAGCAGAAAGATATTTTGTTAGTGGAAAGATAGCAAAACAATAATACTTAGGCCTATGATAAACCGATTCACGAACTAAAATATATAGGGCCTAGGCATATTAAATTTTTCGTTTTCGCAACTCCTTCGGCGCTCCATATATTTGTTCGAAATAAACCGCGACCGAAACGAAGCGCGACCGAAATGATCGGCTACCGACGATATAGGCCTAGCCAGCCTACTTCCACTCTGGGTTTCTACGAATACACAAAAATGGTCTATAACCTAGTTTTGGGTGTTCCACAGAGCTTCCAAGTCACATACATCATGATCGTGAGCGAATGCAATAATTTAGTAATACATGTATAGGTCCTACTTGTCTCCTTCGAAATATTCAGGGTGGTAGTATATTGACCTACCTAGCCCTAGGCCTCAGACAGAGACTTACCTGCTCTTACGTTGCAAGACAACATGGCCGCGTGGCATTGTATTTATCCACTGGGCCATGGCATGGCGCAGTGGGTGGGAGAATTCCCAGACATGCATGATAACGTAAGATACTGAACTTTCTGGTTATATACTCAGCAGAATCAAAACATATTAAACTATTTAATTTCACAGACTTTTTATCGTTGTTGTATTTTTTTTCATATATACAATATAGAAACTAAATGATTTTTTTAAGATATAAAAATACTTATATAATTGGACAAATACAATATTGTATCCTGTATATGATGAATCATGTGTTTCATTTCTTGCATGATGGTGTTTGGAAATCATGTCTGATCATGTTTTTATATAAACTGTAACATATAATATAAATAAATGGATAAATATGAATAAAAACAACGAAATAGTATTTACGTTCCATTATACAAATATTATATTTTCTTACATATAAGAGGATATCACTGAGTCGCTTTTATGGGTCAAGTTCTCACTACCATCTTTAACTAGAAAGTAACATGCGAGTGTAGAATCATCTGGAACCCCACGTACAATATGTACTGCATAGTGTATTCTTGATTTCTAATTTGTTGACTGAATTAATTTATTTTTCATCTCAGCATCTATATACACATCTCTGTATTACTAAAACCATATAAAATGGCAGAGAAATGTTACAAATTTGCTTGATCTTATTCCCTTTCTCTTATGAAAAATAGAAATGATGTGAATAAAATCATTTTATGAATGAGACACACCGCTACATGTATTAATACAGCTACATACCTATACTGTACATTTCTATGACGAGTTATTGTAGAATGTAGAATCGATAAAAAAAAAAAAAAAAATTATATTCTGCACAATGTTTACGGAAAATAGCGTGCCACTTTATCGTCGAAGTAAACTAAAGTTGTTTCCAAGGCACATAAAACCAAATTACAGATCATAAAAATCTTCAAACTACAGGCATGCATCAAAGCGAAAACAAACTAACAATGGAAGCAGTGGCGGCTCTAGGATATATTTTCTGAGGGTGCTGAGCTGTCCAACAGGGGGAATTGAGCTCGTAGGCTCCAGCTGGGGGAAGGGGGTTGAGAGGGGGTTCCGTTCCCCTCCCAAATGAGATTATTTTAAGAATAGGAACTTCTGGATGGCCAGAAATGGACACTCTCAGACTGTTACAGACATGTTTTGGCTTGGCATGGGCCTATTTTTAAATTTGTTTTAGTCCAACTGCTTCAAAAGCTAGCTGTCTGATTCGGGGGGAAGGGGCCCTTGACCTGCCCAGTGGGGGCTTAAGCCCATGCTGCTCCCCCCTCTAGCGCCACCACTGAGGGTGATAAAGTGTTGGGGGCCTATGCATTTCAGTAAATTATTCACTCATACTGAGGAGCTGATATTTGATTGAATCCATTTATGATTATTCAGGCTTAACAAAAAAGTCCACCCACATTTATTTATTCATAATTTAAATTTCGGTTCGAGCCTACTGTGAAATATTTTCAGTTGGGAATTGATAGTGTAATTATATTAAAGTGTTATCATCATTGGACTACAGAGCATTAAAGTTAAAACCGGCATTTCATTGTTTTAAACTGATTTTTGGTGCCTTTCCACTGAACATCAGGGCTCTGTACTATAGTTCTTGTATTAGTAGCAGGGGGCCGGTTCCTTCAAGCTCCTTTGGCCTCTCTCCTCCCCCTTCCTTTTTCTCGAGAGCCCATAGTCATTACGCCACTGCCAAGTTGTTAATTTAAGAGAAAATTTAAAACTAGATTTACTGTACTGTATAAATACAAAATTTTTAATATATAAATTTCACAATGAAGGCCTTTCACATTCCAGAAAATATATGCTAGCATTAGTATTTCCCTAGTCAGTGGATACTTAGTTTGCAAATCAACACAGTAGTACTTGCAATAGGTGTTTTCTTATTGGCCAATGCTACAGTTCTGTAGTACTTACAATAAAAAAAGAGTAGTATTCAGCACAATGTTTATAGAAAATAGATTTATTTTCAAATAATATGGTTCTTCTATATTAAAAATTTGCTAGTTCATACAATACACAGTAGCATGATAAAATTAGAATATAATATTTTAGTAATTTTATATATCGGTGGTTTTAACACTTTAAACCTTTTATCAGGTATCTGATTTTATATAGACTGAAGTTATTTCATGTACAGGTTTGAAAAGTCTTACATTTTAATCTTCCTTTACTTGATACTCCTAATCTGTATGGAACATGCAAATAATTATAATATTGGATAATACTGAATATTCATATAAAATGTATATTTCTAAATCTTACATACAATATATATTTTACTGTACATCCTGGTTAACTCAAAACAAAATCTTGCATTATTATATAATAAAAACATAACCTTATCTCATTGTTTATTATCGACACATGGTTGTAATACCGGTTAGAGTAGATTATGCAAATTCATCTGTGAATATCTTTTTTCTGAGTGGATAATACTCCAAGTCTGAAGCATTTACTATGTGTTTTCTTATTAGCTAATACTGTAGACCTGAGGTAGAGAATGTATTCATAAAATCAACATGGCAAGATGCAGTTACTGATCAAATTTGAAGTCAATGTAGGCTAAGAAACAATGTTACTACACTGATGTTTATTTAACCATGTGAGGAGGATGGGAAAACATCAACAACAACATTTACTCTTTTCTTTATTACTGTTTTTCGCAGGGTCAACTGTTTTTCGTGATAGGCCGGCCGTTGGATTCTGAAAGAAGTAATATAATCCAAAATGGTTAAGTTTTGATCTTTTTAATTAATGGATGTATAACATAAGAAGGATAAAAAATATAACATTTTCAAGAGCTTACACTATACTGCCAGAAAAACATCTCCAAACATATAATGTAATACTTGTATTATGTTTATGAATATTTCAATTGCTTAATTTCGAAAGTATTCGATTGAAATATATAATGAAATCAAACAAATCAGAGCAGGAATCCTTCCGGAAAGACATAAAGGCAGACAGCGAAAGGAAATTTGATACTTGTTATGCAATGTCGATGCGTTATATATGTCTGGGTTAGACGATTCCATTATTTTTCGCTGGTACGTCTGATTAGGAATCTGGCTAATATCCGCTTATCCAGGTAAGTAGTCACGAAATAGACAATGTTTCTGTCAATTAACAGATGGACAAATGATACTAATTCTATATTCTTTGCACTGACTCTTGATCTTGCTGTTAAGCATTAATTTTATAGCGGAAAGTCTAGAAAACAGTAAAAATTGATTCGTTTCAAATCTCTGTTTCAGTTGAATTTTTATAATTTATTTGGTCATTATAAACAAGCAATTCGTTTTGTGACTTAATATTTAAGGAATTAGGCAGTGTGTTCCCATTTTAGCAAATGACTTTTATCTATATTATTCGAATTGAAGACCAAAGCTGCTAAAGACCATGGAAACCCAGTCCCAAAAGTGGTCTTCAATTGGAAGGAGACCTGTATTCTTACATTTTCTGACATGTCGGAGGATATCACTGGGTCGCTTGTGAACTTCATGGGTCTATTTAGATAGTCAACAGTAGTAACGTACCTTTCTTAAAAGTTAATCTACAATAATAAGACCATTATATATCTTTACTATTTCTGTAACAAACTTGTCAGTTTCTAGTCAAATTTGGGAGGAGGAGTGTACTGACCTTTTCGATAATGTCTTCTACTAATGTCAAGACAGCAGTATCTACATTGATGTTTGTCTTTGCACTTGTCTCAAAAAACCTCATGCCATTTTCTTGTGCAAACTACAAAATCAAAACAAAGATTCTACAAAATAATTACATGTCAGACTGGGCCTAAGGCCTTACTGTACCCTGTTGCCTGTTTCCCACTACAGCATTCTGATCATGTGGCTTTCAACCTTGGTTATAACAAATTCCATTAAAAAAAAATTGTGAACAATATCTGATGCTAAACCCTAGAATCAGGAATGGTAATATACCATGCAACCATTACACAATAAATCATCTTTATTTAACATTTTTAGGGGTACAGTACTTACCGATTCCCCCTTCTCCTTGCTCACCATCTGTTGGTCGTCCAGGTCACATTTGTTTGCAAGCAACACCTTTTGAACATCTTCACTTGTGTTCTGTAAACAAATAAGAAATGTTGGATTATTTTTAATACATATAAGAAATGACTGGCAGGAACAATACAGTTGGTAGCTAGTGGCAAGAACAATATCATTGGTAGCAGCAACTAGTGGCAAGTTTGAAAGCAATCAGACTTAACAAACTTTAGATATCGTGGTAAGAAACAAACAACAGTAATAACAACAACAATTACATAAAGAAAATTAATAGCCTCCTTTGGGGAGGCTAATTAAATTACTTCCTGAACGTTGTGTAGCCAATTGCTACTAATGTGCTCAAATGACTTCTCGTCTGTCATGTCATACACCATTATGATCCCTGCTGTACCTCTGAAATAGGAAGTAGTAATTGTACGAAATCTCTCGCCGCCATATGTATCCCATATTTGTAGTTTTACCTCCTTTCCATTCAGCTCCACTGTTTTTATTTTAAAATCCACACCTGATTAATAAATGACAAAATTAACAATTAACATTTATCGGACTCAAAAGTATTCATCACACAAAGTCAAAATAACATTTGGATGGGCGAATTAATATTTTTAGTCTGATGGCCTTCACTAACTTGGCCCATAACCACCCATACACCAACTCGACCCTTGTCAACTCAGCCCTTAACCGACTCGGCCCATAACCAACTCGGATATATATATAATATTTTCATACTTTCCATATAAGATTATCAATATTTTTAATTATAACTGTACATTTTAATGGCCATTTTATCAGGCTTCTTTTACATTCATAAGCCCGACAAAATCACTCACCAGGCTATTTCTAATTATTTTTTAAATTTATTTATTCATTCCAAACCAACAGCGAATAATTGTTACTAACAGGCAGGTATAAAAATCTAGCAAAAATCACAAATATCAGTTGCATAACTAGTATAATTTGTGGAAAGAGAAGTCCACAAATACTGAGATTCTCACATAACGGCACTCTTGAGGTAAAGCAGACACAAGGATTGTAATTTCTTGTTTGTTTTATTTCCATTTTTTATACAACAACATAGGCCTATTCTGATTTTTATAAAATACACAAATAAATGGAAATATTTAAAAGTAAGACTTGTCATTGTCAATCAATACTTCGATAAATATAGTTTTAATATAATTTATAAATAAGTGGCTGCTTTGGATTTCTTTTTATAGGCCTATTTAATAAGCCGGAAGTGGCACTACTCCCGTGTTACAGTGTACTAGTTGCATGGAAATTTAAGTATGAAATCGGAAAGAAACTTTCCCACAAACAGGCTCTGGCACGGTATTCTTAAGGATCAAGCAGACAGAAAGAACATGTTTGTACGGAATTCCTTTGTACGGCGCCTTCAGGAATGTGGGCTTGCACTCTGCCAAGACAGCAGAAGTAGGCAGATGCTAAAAATAGACGCTATATTTTTTAGGTGCAAACGAGCGTGGATGGCAGTGTTAACTTTGAATCGTCTGCTGTCTGCTGATCATCTTTATAAAATACAAAAATAAATGGAAACAGTAAAATATAGGTTTTACAGGGTTTTCTTTAGGTTTTATCTGGTTTTGAACAACTACGGTAAATGAATTTGTTTCAACATAGTAAAATAAAGTTTTAATATTATATATGAATACATAGAAACTAACTATCTGATTGAACGGGGAAACCAAAATTAGAGAAGACAAAACAACAAAAATGTATTTGATTCGAAAGATGACAGGATCATCTTTGACGATCTCAAAGACATTATGTGGGTTTAGCATTTTATATATTTAGTTCGGTTTAATTCTTACGTTTCCATTCGGCGTTGGGCCCACAATTGTATAAATATGTTAACCATTGAAAACATTACTACTGTATGTGAATAAATATTACCATAAAATTTACAATAACAATGCCAATAATTAATACATGATAGAAGCGTCCTCGCCGCGGCCCTGGTTAACGCTAATTCTACCACCAACACACCTGTGGACAAAGGACAAGATTAACAAATAACATTAAAATACGTCAAAAGGTTACATTACATTAATTAAAACATAAAAGTAAATTAACAAAAAAAAAGGACAAAAGATAAAGACATGCCTACATTATGGTACAGTACTGCATGTTCATGTATTTACTTTATTTTTTGTTGATAACAACATTCATATGTGACGACAAATTAATATAATATAGATTTAAAGACCAGCTCCAGGCAAAAATTTTGTATTGATTATATATTATAGTTATTATCAATCTATTGATTCACATATGTATTGGGATTTTTCTGAATTTTGTTTTGCTACATGATTTTTTTGAAAATAAGTACTTTTTTGAAAGTGGGGTATAGGTAAACTTGCCCAGCAAAATTCCTATTCTTTTGCACACAAATGACATTAAGAGCAGGCATTTTGAAAAATTCATAACAAATAAACAATAGGGCAAAAAATTACACTAAATGACTAAACTGGGGTGGATTTAGTCAAACTTTTCGTTTCTGGAGTTCATTTTACGTCAATACATATTTCTGCGCAATTATCATTTATTCCCCACCGTACCCACTTGATTTTTTTCACTTTCCAGGGAGTCAATCGCTCTGAGCTTTGCGCCATGCGCTAACTTGCCAATCCATTCTGCTGCTCTCACTCGCTCGATCCATTCGTGTAAAAAAAGTGCGAGCGAGAAGATGAAAAGTATGATGAATAAAAAAACTAAACACAGGAGTAGGCCTATTTTGGTTGAGTAGTAATGGTGAAAAGATAGACGGGAAGGTTTGGTGGTAGATTTGATCAATCTAGGTCTAGCTATGGATGCCTTTGAGCCAGAGGTGAGGCCTAGGCCCCCTATATCGTTGGGAAATCGTCGACAGAAGAAGGTACCTATGCCAGCCCAGCGGGATTCATTCCCATCCCGGCAAGGAGGATGGATGAGTTGAGACGATTGGGTGGGTTGTCGTTGTTATGTGGTATCATTTGCTACTTAAGAATTGAAGGAAAAATGGGAGACCACAGATGTTTGACGATGATAAATTCAAGAAACTGTGCCTTGATATTAGGATGTTTCAAACTCGTCCAAGAATCGAAAAAGAGAAATTCTCAGAGAATAAACGAGGCAACAACATGCCTTACATTAATAACTATAGTAATATTTACAGGCCTAGGCCTCCTGTGCAGTTCAGTAGTAGGCCTAGGGGCCTTGTAGGGCCTACGTCAAGGCGTATAACGCTTACCCCTACAACAATTCCTACAAATTACACTCTGGGCAGGCATGCGTGGATTGGTAGGAAGATTGGTATTAGTACTAGTCCGCAGTTCTCTTAGCTAGACCACCTGGAGTTATTGACTGGCTGAGATATGACTGTGACGATTACTACTCTCTTCTGTCATTTTTTTTTTTTTTTTTTTTTCTTTTTTTTTTTGTAGTATTATCAATTGTAAATAATTCTGTTTATGGCAAATATGTTTATTGTACACCATCTTGACCGACGCATTTTACAGATTAGTGTGGTGAAGTCCACAGCAGCGCGATGTCACGTTCTCGCGGACGATGTCGTTGGTTGACAGTTAGTGTGTTGTAATTTTTCTCATCACACTCGAGTATTCTAAAACCTAGCTAGTGAAAAAAAGTAGACTGCTTGATTTTTGCGGTTCTAAGCGGATTTTTATATTCTCGTTTTCAGTCAAATTGGCGAATTTTTTTGTCGAGATTACTCGCATATCTTATAATAATGTATTTGAACACATAGTGAAGAGAAAATGTATGCCCAGGGCTGCCCTTTAATACATAACATTAAAAGGCTTTCCCATTAAAGTATTCCAAAAGCGACTCGGTTCATGGGCCGAGTTGGTAAATGGCCAAATTGGTAAAGGGCCGAGTCGGTTAAGGGCCGAATAGGTAAAGGGCCGAGTCGGTTAAGGGCCAAGTTGACAAGGGCTGCATTGGTGTATGGGCCAAGTCGGTTATGGGCTGAGTCGGTTAAGGGCTTGGCAGTGGGCCGAGTCGGTATGGTCTGAGTTGGTGAAGGGCCGAGTTGACCTGCACCCAATTATGCAGGATATTAAATCTGGTACTTTACTGCAGGTCTGGCCTAGCCCTCCTAGGCCTAGAGAGGGTCTTGGCCGTATAAATAAGGATGATCAATGAATGAGTCAATAGTTATTAAAATAAAAGTAATCATATTCATATAGATGAAACGGATTGATATTTTAGATATATGGCATAGGTAGGCTTGACAAAATTAAAAATAAACATAGAGATACTAACAAATAAAGCATGACACAATATACTACTGTTCATTAGGAACACTGTAAACTTTATTTTATCAAAATTGAGCAACTGGTTATATTTTTATGAATATTTTTAATATAAGTTGGCGCGGTATAGCAAGTTGTATGTAAAAGTTGGGATTTTCGTCACATTTTTACAATTTTTAAGGTTAACTGTTGTGAGGTTTATACATAACCTTGTTATATTGTTATATTTTCCCTGTAACTTGTTTTGTGTTAGATTTGTAATTTAGAAAATGTTACAATTAATTTCAATGTCATTGACCTTTATTATTTCAATGACCTTTGACCTTTTTGAGATTTTAAGGGTTAATATTTTAAAAAATTACTGTTGCCATACCATATTGAGGTAACAATGCATAAAGATATAAAATATGATAATATACACGATAAATCCTGTCATTTGTTTACTATATTGCTTATCTCCATTCATCTTTCAAAAAAATTGTTTTCAATGTACTTATGTACTTTTTATATATTTTTTTTATATTTTTCAATTTTTATGTGTTTTCATAAAGTTTAATCTATCACAGTAAAATAAAATATTTACATACACGATAGTCCCTGTCATTTCTTTACCATATCGCTTATCTCCATTTATCTTTCAAAACAATTGTTTTCAATGTACTTTTCATACTTTTTATATATTTTTTTCAATTTTTCAATTTTTATGAGTTTTTGTAAAGTTTAATCTAATACAGTATTTACACATGAAAGCTCCTATAATTTCTTTATCATATCGCTTACCTCTATTCATCCTTCAAAACAATAATTGTTTCCAATGTACTGTATTTATATATATATTTTTATATTTTTCTTATATTTTTCAATTTTTATAGGTTTTTATACTGTATACATTTCTTTTCTTGCAGGTGCTATATATACTACATGCTACTCAATAATCAGGTCTCCAAAAAAGTAGTCCACAGCCAACCCATATGCATCCTGATCATCATCAACGGCATCATCTTCATAACTTTCCCCATCCTGTTGTTTCCAATAGCCAATCACATACTTCCTTTTTTTTCATTCCATGATTCAACTCTTCCAAAATACATTACATTTTGTTTGTCTACTTCATCAAAGAAAGTATGAGCAATCAGTTCACCAACAAGTCTTCCTTCCATGATGGTATCCATTGTTTCCTTATGTTCGGGGAATTCATCAGTTTTCTTTGTACCCTTCTTTAACTGGGTCACCAACTTCTTGTGCTCCGCATCTACACCTTTCTGTGCTTTCATCTCGTATCGAGCAAGGATTTCCTCCTCTAGTTCCTTCTTTGTTTTTCTCTTTACAACCCTTTGCTTTCGTGCATATCCTCTAGCTTTGTTCACCAATTCGTCTCGATCTTCTTCCGACATGCTCATCAAATAATTAATGACATGATTCTTTCTTGCTCTAATGGCACAAGAAATAAAATCCACAGTTGCATTAGTTTTCAGGCCTTTGATTGCGGAGAACATCCCCATAATTTGCTCTGCATAGATGTTGTGTAATTTAGCAGACTTTGTTTCATCCTTCAGTTTCTCGTCAATGTTTAATGTTAAATACGAGCTATATTGTCGCTGTAAAACATTGACGGTGCTCTTGAAACAGGCTCCAAGCAAAGATGTAAATATTTCTTTGTCTGTTTGGGACTTTAGGCACTCCTCCATTACAAGTACACTGCCAAAGCAATCAACTTGCTCAGTAAATACTGAAAGAGGGTCTTCTCCCCACTTCTCAATGGTGACCATTGTCTTCCTGATTAGTTCAAAAGCCTCAAAATGATGAAGATCTGATTCTTCAGCATCATAGAAGGTCTTCATCCATGGGCCTGTGACAGCCCTGCCAACAACTCCCAAAACTTGAAGCTCTACAGTAGTTTTACTTCTTTTCTTGAGAAGTCAGACTGCACTGCAGACCTTAACTGTGTTGACTTCAGTTGCTTATCTGCAAACAGTGTACTAAAAAACTCCTGGTGTTCTAACAGAATTCTTGAAATACTGTGTGTAATGTGCATACGAGCACCTCGGAATCGTGGCAGCAAATTGTTTGGCAAATTTGCCTTCTGTAGACTGGTTTTGAATAGTCGTGGGTCGCCAGCATCATCTTTGTACCTAAGCTGATTTGATTTCAATATCAGATTGCCAGCTAAACAATCACTACCATAGCATTGTCCAGGAGGATATTTGTTGTCTTCTCATGTTTCTTTAAAACTTTCTTGCATTCTTTAGTAATTGTCTCCAAAGGGTGCAAATTGCAGTTCAGTTGATTTACAGTACAGTCATGAAATATCGCTTCGTATCTGCGCGTAACCACTCGTAGCCTGCTCGTAGGTACCGTTTGGAACGTAGCTACGAACCACTACGAAGGTCATTGTTATTTTAATTAGCTTTGCAATGATCGTAGGCTGGATCGTCGGGCTGATAATCAATGCGTAAACAATATTGAAATATAGTTTACCAGCTTTCAACACGTAAGCAATGTTGCAATTTACTAAATAAACAATGTTAGAACTTTATTGTTTTGTTATATCCTAGCTTATTATTAAATGTTTAGTTCACTAGCTGGGTGGGTACCCTAGTGGGCATTCAGTATGTTCGAATTTCGATGTAATTTAGGCTTACGTACGGCCTACATTTTCCCCTATAGAGGAGGAGAGCAGACAGTAGTTATACTGGTAAACTTTCCATTTTGATCTGATATTATTCTTCTGGTAGTAGGAATTTTCTTCTTTCAAATAATACTGATGACAAATCATGTACAAATTATTACGATTTCTACAGATCACGTTGTTTATTGTTTACCGTAATTTGAAGCAGAACAACCTGCAAAGCGATCCAATACTAAATGGAAGTATAGAAATCACTACCTTGCCGAAATAAGGCTAATCATGCTAGACCGCGTTTACTCCGTTTTTTACTCACTGTTGCTCACAGCTTTTCAACATTTGCCACGAGGTTAACCTTTAACACACTTTACTGTGTTCTGACTGTCTCTTATACACATCTAGATGTGTATAAGAGACAGTTATTATTGTGTTATATATGCTCCATGACCTTACCACCATTGAGGAAGTTTTTCCTCTGGTTATATACGAACAAAAATAAGCAGTACAAACAAGTTCCTGTCGTGGACAGCGAGTGGAAGAGGAGACTCCCATAAAGTCAAGTGTCTTATTGAAAAACAGTTCCATACTTTAAATTAACGGTCTAAACTCGTATTTGCCATTCACAAATTATCAAACAATACATTGTTTATTCCAGTAAGATGCAGCAGTCTTTCTGCACATACAAATAAACAACATGCTTTTGCTTCGTAGGTTCGCTTTGCGTAGCCTTGCTTAGATTGTTTATATCAGGCTACGAAGCCTGCGCGCAGGTTAGATTGTTTATTTTAGGCTATGATGTATCTATGAAGCCTGCGCGCAGGTAAAAGTGCAATATTTCATGACTGTACTGTATGTCAGTGCCCCATTTCTCCTCGATGCATCTAATCGTAGCATTATTTACGGGGCATCTATCAGTCATTGAGTTTCTTAAGTTCTGCTGAATTTTCTTTTCTGTCACCTCAGGGTCAGTTCCATGAACAAGGCCATGAACATCTGCAAGGTGTTTTACCGATCTTGATATGTGACTTGAATAGTCCATGGCAGTACCACCTGGTAATTCGTCTACAGCAACGACTTTTGACTCTTTTGAAGATGAGCTCAGGTGTATTTCGTTCACGTGTGTTCCGTCCTAGGTAGTTGCATCAAAGCCAATTGTAAGGTCAGCAGATTTTAAGGCCATTTCAGCAACCATCAAATCACTGACGATACCCAACTCTCGTGAAATGTTTTCAACAGTGGCCCTTTGGGGAATATTGCTTAACTTAACTCCAAACCAATAGCCAACTCGCTCAATTAACAGTGGAACATGTTTGGTGGGCACCCCACAATCTAACATGAAATATACAAGCAGTCTGGCTTTGGAACTGATCGTTCTTCCATCTTCTCTACAATCCACATCTTCATCTTAAAATGTTGAGCTCTTCCTCCAGCTGCAAAACCCTATCTTCAATTTCAGATTCTCTGTCCTCCTTTTCTTTCAGCTTTCTTTTCAGTTCCCTGTTTTTATCAGTCATTTTCTGAAAAGCACGTTGTGATGGGCAATTTTTATGCTGTTTCTTAATTCTTCTTATTCTTCTTTTAGCATTTGCTAACTCTTTTCTAACGTGTTCTTCGACTGCACTTTTTTTTATTTCTCGAAGTTCCTCTTCGCTTTTCTTCAGTTTATCAGCCTTAATTCTCAGACGTTCATATAGTCTTGAAACTTGCCTTTGAAGATACCTTAATTGATAAAAAAAAAAAAAAAAAAAACCATAATAAATATTTCATAATGCAGTATTAAAATGTATCTGGAAATAAAGAGTGCATATGAATGGTAAAATTTATGATAGCCTTAGGTGGACTTATTTTCCCCATACTGAATGATTGAAAAAATCTTTTGCCTAGTAAAAAAAAATACTAACCTGTTTTGTTTAAACTTTTTTGATGACAGTTGTGCTCTCAATACAGTAACTTTATTTTTCAAAGTATTTACTTCTTTCCTCATCTCTTCTCCTCGCTCAAGAATCTTTTTTTTCATTGGTGTCAGCAAACCCTTTCTCTTTAAGGATCGGATTGAGGCTGAGGACACTGGCGATTTTGGAGCGGACGGTAAAGGTGTAGCTGAAGGCCTGATGCCTGAAGTAATCTCTTCATCAGCGCAACTTTTGAAGTCAAGACTGCGGGATGCGGACGCTGACGCTGCTGGAACACTTTCGGGCACTGATCCTGCTGGAGCACTTTCTGCAACTAGATCGTAACTAGTAAAGGCAGCATCACATACATCTTTAAATCTTCTTTCATCAGCTTCTCGAGCCAGGTTCACATATCTCTTCACTGATCTACAAAATATAAATAATATACGATAAATTAATAGTAAAGATTATACAATATAAAAATATATATCTTGATGCCATGAAGTGATTGTATGCAATGCAAGATTACTGAATGTACTGTATTATCTTCTGGGAAACAATGGTTGTACATTACTTATATTTTTAATTAATTATTGAACTTGTTATGAAATATGCAACTACCTAGTAAGAAGAGACTGCAGAGTATTGTGCGTGATAACAATATTAAACTTGTCTTTAAAGAAGCGTAGCACATCTGCTTTTGTAGCTTGAACGGTAATCTGGTGAAGGATGTGGCCATTTTTTAATGCCTCTGCGTCACTTGGGATTTCAGAGTACATTGTCAGTATCTGATATTGTCTACCAGGTTTACCATCTTTCCTCTTTCTTTTCGGCATGATGACACTACAAAAAAAAATTGTATAAATATTAAAATTATTAATATTTAATTATTAATATTTATTTAATTATTAATATTTAATTATTAATATATTTATTTATTATATAATTTTGCAAATTATGAATTATTATAATATTACAGTATTTTGAAACTTTAAAAAAAATAAAATTTATAACAAAAGAAGTGGATGGATGTTTCAGAACTATGAAACATAGTTGTTGACCTCTGAAATCAAGATTGAAAAATAAAAGCCTATCTCAGTAGTGTATTAAAATATGTATGCATTACAGTGCTGTAGTACTAGTAATACTCTGAACTAGCATTGTTTTAGTTACCATATGAGAGTTTTCTGTGTTAAAAACATGATTTACTATACTATACCTCTTTATAAAACATAACTTGTACTTTGTAATAAGAGAAATATATATATTATCGCTACTTGGAACAGTAACAACTCGAAAGTCCTATGCTACTGCACTGTAATGCATTGGCCTATTTTAATACACTACTAAAATAGGCTTTTCTTTTTCAATCTTGATTTCAGAGGTCAAAAAAATTTTTCAATTTTTTTTCAATCATATAGTGGTGTAGACTGGTCTTTTAAGAACATTTTCTTGAAACACTTTTTGGATACGACGCCCCGTTATGAAGTTATGATTTTTTAAATAACATGATGTCAGAAAATCAGCCCAAAAGCTTATCTTATTTCTGTTGGTTACGCACCGCTGATTCGCAATGTTTGTCATCACTTCAACATGTCTACCGATTCGTGAAAAAGGCGTATTGGCAGATGAAAAAACCACCAGAGCTAATGATCGTATTGTATTCATATTTGGCAAATATATTCATAGATATATTATTTAACTTATGCTAGTATAAAATTTAAAATAGTTACTTACGTTTACTCGCAAAAATGACTTATTTGACGGTACTTTTAAGAATCTGGAAATATCACATTCGACAACCACGATCTCGGAAAATTAAAAAATGGCGATTAACTTTGACACTAGAATGACCTGAAGAAAACACTCTAGCCAATCAAGAGATATTTTATATGAATAAATTTCTAAAGGCTTTGTTGACATTTATACTCTTTGACATAATCCATAGAGGTATAATAAGAATACTAGAGCGCTAACCGCAATGTATTCGATGTTCGAAATACACAGAACTGTGTGTGTGTGTGTGTACCATCCAAGATGGCTACCATAGATTTAGCCAATCAAATTTCGCTAAGCGCCATCGTTTGCAAATGCGCCCTCAATTTACTCAGAAAGTTCAGTACAGCTAGTTACCTGTATGTTTGAAACTCGAGCGTTGCGGTGTTTGGGTGTAATACATACGATTTTAATTTTCATTCCTTGGTACTTTATTTTTGAATAAGATGCTTCACTTGGCCTCGTTTTGGCTACAATAGTTTAATAACTTGTTATTACCATTACTCATTATCATTAATGAAATAATAGTCAGTCAGAGGGCTATTAATATGTAATAATATGTATACTAAGCCTGAAGGTGGCGCTTTACTACGACGGCCATCTTGGATGGTACACATACATAACTCTGCATTGCTGCGCCATCTTGTGAGCACTCTAGTTGTTTATTAGCTCTATGTCCAAGACCAACTTTTTCGGATTCGCGAGCGAATTCGCGGCCGATGGACCAATCGCAAGGCTTAGATTCAATTTATGTCAAAGGTCAACAATAAAGTCACGACCATTGTCAAAACAATGTACAGATCATACAGCTATTAAACAACTAGAGTGCTGACAAGACGGCGGAGCAATGCAGAGTTGTGTATGTGTACCATCCAAGATGGCTGCCGTAGGAAAGCGCCACCTTCAGGCTTAGTATACATATTATTACCATAAGTAAGCCCTCTGACTGAATATTATTTCATTAATAATAATTAGTATTGATAATGACAAATTATTAAACTGTCATAGCCAAAAAGAGGCCAAGTAGAGCATATTATTCAAATATTAAAAAGAATTAAATTCGTGTACATTACACCCATACACCGCAACGCTCGAGTTTCAAAATACGGGTAACTAGCTGTACTGAACTTTGGGTAAATTGAGGGCGCAATTAAAAATTATAGTACTCAGGGGAAATTTGATTGGCCGATCTATGGCAGCCATCTTGGATGGTACACACACACAGCTCTGCGTATTTCGAACATCGAATACATTGCTGTTAGCGCTCTAGTATTCTTATTATATCTCTATGGTACAGATACAGATGTGCGAGCGATGACCGACGAGTCCGTTTCATGCAAACTCTGTGGAACAGTAGGCTACCCTTGTTTAGGTCTGTGACAAGGGAGCAAAGAAAATATGTGACGTACAATGCGTGGAAAAGGATTTGCAGAGACGAGTTGAGTTATCTCCTCTTTCTACCATTATTAGGCCTGTCCAGCCTACCAGAGACCTACAGTAGGGTAGGGTAGGCTCGGCCTACTATCTACCCTTAGGAGGCCTAGCTTTAGGCCTTGAATAAATATACTAAAAAAAACTACCGTATGTTTATATTCACTCTTTTCAATCATTATAGAGTTCTGGGAATGTTAATCCTGAGGATTTTATCTGATTCGTCTCACAGCCCTTTTCCTCCGTCTATCAATGCGATAACAAAATCCGTTCTCTGTTGCCACCCGCCATTTCGAGTTTTTGCGCGCGGTCAGCAGTGGGAACATGCAAGCGAATCATTGGAAGCGAGACATTCTTTACCGAAAGTCAACTCTTGTGAACTTTGGGCGATTCGCTTCGCTTGCCGCGTGACGCTCGACGCTTTCGCTTGACAAGTTTAGTGGGAACCGGCCTTAACTGTATGTATGTATTGTCGACGCTGCTGGTCGCTCGATCATCGTCGGGACGATTTCTCGCAGCGTGACCACTCACAATTTTTGATCCAATGACTGGGTCGAAATTCCCCAAGATTCAGCAAAAATTGCCAAAAATTACCCAAGCTTCCTGAAAATGACATTAAAATTTGAAAAATAGGTGTTTTTCGCATGTATATAGTTTCCCTTTTAAGTTCAATTTATAAACCAATTTATATATTGTAATTGTTTGTGTTAATTATTAAAATTAATTTTCATGAGGTGATAATACGGATAGAAAAGACGCCCTCAGTCGGCCAGTGTTATCAGTAGATCAGTGATCAAGTTTTATTATGTAATGTATTAATTAGGTAAAATCAATGGCAACACAAATCACAAATAAACAATTCTGAACCCATGCAATTAGCAATTAACAGTCAATTAACAATGTTATGTGCACTTCGTTGAATTTTGCTTACTTGAATGGACTGAAATATACTTTGTTACTTCTTAATTCTTCCTCTATGACAAAAATATTTAATTTTCTTAGAAAAAATAAAATACCCAAGGAATTGAACGGAATACCCAAGAACCTAAGACCAAGTCAAAATACCCAAGATCTTGGGTAAATACCCAAGCAGTGGTTACGCTGATTCCTCGATCAGCTGCTCGCCAAAATTGACAGACTGGGCCTGAATATTAATGAGTTGGTTAGAAAGTTGCTACCAAGCTCCTGAAAAAAGTGATCAGCCTCGTTTTCACCTGATTTTGATTTCTCATCATATCATGTTTTGTTTCTGTAATTGTCGTTACATCTAACGTTTTTGAATTTTTTTTGTATTTTTCCCGAACTCAAAAAAGGTTAAATAAGCAATATATGACGACTTATTTTAAACCCGCACTTGGCCTTTAATGTTAGTACCCAACATGCAGCGCGATAGCTCCGCCCCTTTTGTAAACAAATCGAAATACGCATGCGCAAACCCATAACTAACGTACGAGTCGAGCACGTAAAATCCTGAAATTAACGTACTCCGCAAGATGAATAAATTATGACGTCATCCGTTAACGTTAAGGTTAACGTCGTGCAGCGAAAACTGCGTATTGTCTTTTTTGCCGATGATACTACCATATTTTATTCCAATAATGGCATTGATTTATTGTTTAATACAGGTCTCCCTCCAAATAATGACGCCCACCATTAGAGACCACCTCCAATTAAAGACTACTTTTCTGTGGTCCCCTTTGAATTCCTATCTTTAAAGATCAGCTGTTCTCTCCAATTAAAGACTTCCTTTATTTAGAGACCAAGGACCATGGTTTTGGTGGACCTAAGTGCCAGGAACCTTCTTCCCCATCTCCATTTAAAGATCACTATAAAATAAATATTTATGTTAATGCTATTTTTCTTTAAAACAGATTTGTTATAGGGCTTAAAACATAAAATTATTAGCGATTTCACATCATAACATGGTGTTTTGTGTGTGTTTTGTGTATATTTAGTAACGATAATATTAGTTAGTGGTGTTAGTAATTTGAATTGAAAGTTGCTTAGAAAAAATACAGGAATTGATGTCTGGGATTCAAAGATATAATTTATTAAGAATAAAGACAGCATGCAGTAACTGTACATCCATTTTAAATCATTTTAATATATTATTTCTTAATGTTCACCTCCCTCACCCCACTCGCTTCAGTTTTTAAATATAAACAATCTGTATCTCATTAACTTCTCCCGTTTTTTCCCTCAAATATGTGTTTTTTGTGTCTTAAAAAAAATCAGTTGTAGAACATTTCAAAATTCTTTTTCTCCTGAGCCTGGATAATATTTTGTTATGTTAAAAATAGAAGTTTAACATTTGTTTTTACTTATTGCTCCTAATTATAAATTATAATATTGTAAATCTATAACTGGTATGCTGGAACACCGACACATCTGATCATTACTGAAAAACTTTATAAGAATAAGACCAACGGTAAAATCATGTAAGAGGCCTAAATTACTGACAAAGTATTTTACAAAGTCTAATAAAAATTAATTCTCAACGTTGTCGTTTTCAACGATTCAACTAGTACTAAATATGCCTAGCCTATTGGGTAAGTTGAACGGCGGTCAAATTAGGCCACTATTTATGTTGCAGCTATAAAGTACCTCATGAAGAACGGTTCTTTCGACGAAGAACGATTATTCGTTGACTCCGTGCCAAAGAACCGTTCTTTAGGAACGGTAAAAAGAACGGTTCTTTTTTGTCGGCCCTGTTTCTACTGTCACATCGTACGGATCTTTCTCGTCAGTAGAAACATGCCATGAACTGAAAATTTCCCCCCTCCCTTTAATAAGAACTAGTAAATAGTGATTTTAGTGAAGATGTGTAGGCATATACATGCTCCATGAATACCGATCGTGTTAGTAGGGCATTCAAACCTAAATGTATCATAGGTTTTAATAGACCTAAAGTAAATATATTTCCTTAAAATAAAAAATACACTACATTTATATAGTCACTTTGATGAAGTTTTTTTTAAAATAATCATTGTACTGATATGAATATATACATCAAAAGAATACGTACCATAAGATGATGCTTTGTACATACTGTACTCTATAGAATAGGCCTATACTCATAGTTTTAGTAGGACGATATTGTCCGTAATATTGTAACGGCGAATTAGGTATCAGAACTTGATGTGTGATTACACAGAAATTGTTTATTAAGAATCAATAACAACATACAGTAACTGTAAATGCATTCAACACACCACTTGAAATAAAACTATCTTACACTTACTACCGTATATTATTTCTTAATTTCCCTCTAAATAGTGATATTTAAGACCACTTTTAGTGCCGTTCTTTATTTAGAGGGACTATCATTACAGACCAAAGCTGTAAAAGACCACCAAAAACCCCGTCCAAAAAGTTGTCTTAAATTGAGGGGGGGGGGTGGGAACCTGTATATTTATTGGTTCATTGCAAATAATGTATTAACACAACTAAACACATTTTATTTTAAACATGCACAATTTCCTTTGAATAAACCAATAATTCGACGTGATTTTGCGTCAGAAAAATATCATAGGAGTGATGTTTCTGCACCACCTGACGTGTTGTCTTAACGAATACTCAGTACGTCCCCAAAAAATCGCAAATCATTCGGGTGGGAATCGAACCCAGGACCTCCAGGTAACTAGCCTGATGTCTTAACCACTAGGCCACCGAGCTTGCGCATGGTGGCTAGTGATGAATCCGATCCCTAAGTAGAAGCGGGTACTGCAAGTGCTATTACGGCAATAATAATACGTACTGTTTATAACGTTTCGATCCGTTTTTT